AAATTCACGAGCGTAGGAGGACCAAGGATCCGGGTATCTGGCATCTGCCTCGTGTTCATGGCCTGCTCGTTAGCGGACACCCTTCATGAGAATCTGTTTATTAGGGCATCTACCGGCCGAATAAACTAAAATGTTTATTGATAATGCATCTCCGGATTAGCAGACACACTAGTATTGGCCCAATACCAAGTGTTTTCTCCGAGGATAGGTGATCGTCTCTTACAGCATACATCCCTTTAAACTATCCGTGCTGTCTACCCTCATTCTATTCAACTGCGCAGTTTAGTGGATTCTCGCAAGGGTCCTTCACGGTTCGGACGGTGTAGAATTTACATCCAAACGCCAGCTGACTGACCTTGACTACGCTGACGATATCATGCTGCTAGCCTCAAACAGTCTATAGTGTCACAGGTAATGCCCTACTTCCGTCGGCTTATCCATAAATATTGGGAAGACCAAATTTTTCTGGTAGGGTTTCCCTTGCCAGAATTAATGACCGTCAACCGGAAGAAGGAGATAGCCTCAAATATCTCAGTGCAATACTACTGCCTAAGGGACAGAGAACTGATGACATTATGAGCGATGAATAAAGGTATTTGACCACCGCTACCTAAGGTTCATCTTTCGAGTGAAGTATGTCGACTTAGTTTTAATTGAACTGGTCGCACACGCTGACACAATATCGCGAGGATATCTCAGGCTATCGGGTTGTTTAGGCGCCCGACTCCGTCGTCCGGCTCACGAGTCCTGTTCTACTGCCCTCGGTCTGGCGCCGCAGCCCACCTGGGGGCATCAAAGAGGAGGGCAACTCAAGACTTGGCTCGACACCCTTCGTCAAGCCTGGCAAGCGGTTTTTAGACCTTCGGTCTTCGGTCTCTGTCGCTGGAGAAGAGAAGAGAATGGGTAAAGCTTTCCAGACCTGAACATAGCGGAGACCGGCTAGATCAGGCGTTATCGCAGCTCCACCAAGTACAAGTTGGCCTACTTGGCTACATGCGCATAATCGATTATGGAACCCGCAGTTCTTACGACAAACCATACCCACCTCGCATATCCGACAAAACTCCCATCTCCAGCAATATCGACTGCTCCACCTTCAATGTCATCACCATTAACAGAACCTCTCAAAGCGTGTTCTATAGTGCCACGTAGTGCCTACTCTGCTCGTGTGTGGAATAGGCAGATGGGTATCGCAACTTTGTCAGCCACCGGGCCAGTTAGCTGACAGGCTTCGACACCAGACTGGTGCTCATATCCACGGTAAATCAGCGCCGTTATCAATAATAACAACTCGGAAGCACTTTTGAACTATGACGAGGCGTCACAAGTGGCTTTGACGGCTTCCAACTGATGACATAGAGCGTCTGACTACGGCTGCCCTTCTAAATGGCTTGTTTAGCGTTCCCCCCACTGCCCTTTTTATGTGAAATTCTGTGCTGTCATGACGAACTGTTCAGGCTCTTCGGCTGGCGCGCCTGATCGCGTCTCCAGTTCTTTGACCTCTTCTAATGACCGATTCCAAGTGAGTTAAGAAAGGCTGGCTGTCCCTGAGGCTGCACAAGTCTGCTGTTTCTATAAGTTAACTCTTATGCAATTCTCCGGTGCTATGCACATTCTCTGGCGTACACAATGGTCATCTTCGTAAAGGGTAAAAGGGCTCCTACTATAAGAATAGTAACAGAACAGGTGAATTAAGACTTAGGTATCCTATAAGAGTAGTTTGGGTTTAATAAGACCACGTTGGGATTATGTTCGAAATCTCGGCAAGTAACTGTTGGGAATGCGCCTATTCCCAGGATTACTCATCTTACTGAAAGGCCCTTGAGTGCAACTCCCCGCTGCTGTCATGAGTGCGCGCGCGCTGTAGCTATCGACTTTTTACCATAGCTGATTGGTTCCCTGTCACTGACGCCTGTTCTTTGAGCGGACTGAATAAATACCCCACAGTGTTTTTGTAAGCGTGACTTGCTTGACGTGTTCTGTGTGGATACAATTCTTCTCCTGGCCGATAGTCGGGCCAGCTCAGCGTTCGTGCTAATACAGTAGTCGCCGGTTATTAAGCCCACCTCGGGCCCAGACC